GAGAGATTTTCACTGTAGGGCGCGTGCGCTCGCCAGACAGACAGAGAGAGACATAGAGACAGAAAGCGAGAAATCACCCCCCAGGGAGGATGGTCACGCCGCAATCCCTTCTCCTCCATTCTCCTCTCAGGATCTTGGGCACGCTCGCACACGCGCCCTAGCTTGAGTTTTAAGCCACCGGGTCCGGGACACGAACCGCGGTCGACTACGTGGGAGTCCAGCGACATAGCCATTACGCTAACTGCTAGTTCCCGAGAAACACAACTTTTGAAAGGGTGTTTTGTTCTTAAAAAAAAAAAGTCATAAGGAGTTTGTTTTTTTCAAATATGCTCATCACCTCAGGATCTTACAGTCAACTTTCAATAGAAATCACCATAAATACTATTCTGAAAGATATGCCTGTATTATTGTGTACTCTGTACTTAACAGTTAACATCACCATAGGGCACAACTGTCACATGAAATGTAGATTTTTAAGGGAAAAAGGTGACAGTAGCAAGGATCTGAGGCCTCAAAAAGGACTCTCTGAAGGGGCTGCATCTAGAAATTTCTACTTTCCAGGCCATTCCTCCCCTCTCCCCAAGCCCTATCCCAAAATGCAGAAAGGGTTTTCTGAGCTTTCTTAAAACCCACCAGGCTAGACCAATAGGTAGGATTAAACAGAAATGTATCACAGTCAACAAGTGAAAATTGCTATAAAGTTGCTACAAGCCAAGGTCTGTCTGTAGTGTAAGAACTGACTACTGAGTATCACCTATTGCCTCCTATTCAAATTCCTCCCATCTCTTTAGTAATAATTATTCTCTGGGATGGCACCTACTCATCAAACCAAAATTTCCTATTATTTCTTTTTATCCATTTATTGTCTTTCTCAATCTCACTGTAACTTTTTGTACTTATCAACTATTTTTTGAATCTATTACCTCTCCTGATTTTGGTAACACTGTGGTCTCCTGGAACTATTCCTGCAATTTTAAAGGTTCCCTTTCTGCCCCAAGCTCCCTGAATATTTAGGAATTTTACCTAAATAATAGTTCTATTCATAATTTGGGCTGGTAAAAAATACAGTAACTATTTTACAAAAAAAATTTTAAAAGGAAGGTACAAAAAGTCATTACCCATAATTCTTCTCCAAAAAAGACAATGAAATTATTTTGGGGTGAATGTAATAACTTAAATATTGTGATACTTAAATCAATATAATTATAAATTTTATCTTTATTTTGATAAATATTAAATGTTAATTTATATCACCCTTGGGAAAAATTAAACTAAGATCCTTATAAGGGTTCTAGTATTAGAACTAGTACTTCAGATTATAAATGCTAATTAAAGAACTTTTAAAGTCCTCCTGACCATACCAATCCACTGTAGAAATTTTTTTTTTAAGTTTTTGCTATGGAGCACGTGCACTCACTAGGGAGAGACAGAGAGAGGGAAAGTGAGAAATCACACCCCCAGGGAGATGGCAAACCATAGTCCCTTCTCCATTCTCCTCTCAGAATTTTGGGCAAACATGCACATACACCTGGAATGATACTCAAGCCACCAAGTCCAGGACTTGAGCCATGGTTGGCCATGAGGGAATCCAGTGTCTTAACTACCATGCCAACTGTTGGCTTTTCAGCTAGAAAATGTTATAATGGGAAAAAAAGAAAAGTAAACTTTTCCAAATGCAATTTTTTTTTAGACAGGTTTTTGCCTTAGGGTGCATGCATTCCCAGAGACAGACAGACAGACAGACAGACAGACACAGTAAGAGGGAAAGTGAGAAATCACCCTCCCTCGCAGATGGTCATGCCACAATCCTTCTCTTCCATTCTCCTCCCAGGATCTTAGGAACACATGCACACATGCCTGGCATTAGTCTCAAGCCACTAGGTCTTGGAACTGAACCACGGTCGGCCATGTGGGAGTCCAGAGACATAACCACTATGCCATTTGCTAGTCCCAAAAGCAATTTCTGATATATAATCATTTCATTCCCTAAACCCTGTAAGTTATTTTTTTATCCCCATTTAATCAAAGAATAAATAGAATCCAAAAATCTGAGTTCATTAATAAACTGTGTAGAATCTAATGACTTCAGAGAGTTCAGAATTCATGCTAAGCCACTGCAAAACAGTACACTTAGATCATCTGCAGTTCTAGAGCCTACCTCCCACCTCAAATACATCCTATACTCCATCTTTCCAGATAACTCCTTACAGATAGCATTATCATACTGAGTCCAGGGCAGGGATGCTGATTCAAGGTTGAAAGCTAGGATGATTCGCCTGTTCTTTTTCCCTCGGCATCAAAAAATACATTGTGAAACACACTTCTGGGCCATGTGGGAGTCCAGAGACATAACCACTATGCCATTTGCTAGTCCCAAAAGCAATTTCTGATATATAATCATTTCATTCCCTAAACCCTGTAAGTTATTTTTTTATCCCCATTTAATCAAAGAATAAATAGAATCCAAAAATCTGAGTTCATTAATAAACTGTGTAGAATCTAATGACTTCAGAGAGTTCAGAATTCATGCTAAGCCACTGCAAAACAGTACACTTAGATCATCTGCAGTTCTAGAGCCTACCTCCCACCTCAAATACATCCTATACTCCATCTTTCCAGATAACTCCTTACAGATAGCATTATCATACTGAGTCCAGGGCAGGGATGCTGATTCAAGGTTGAAAGCTAGGATGATTCGCCTGTTCTTTTTCCCTCGGCATCAAAAAATACATTGTGAAACACACTTCTGTAAGGCTAAACTTGTCTCACGGTTAAATGCCCATTGTTGATTTACATGGGCAAATGGGAGTTTGGCCATCTGCTGGAGGGCACCTGTCCAAGACTGAGACTCAGAGTATAGAGAGCTCCCAGGGTCCACAGAAACACTTAAGGAGCAGTTCTTTCTATATATTGATCCTGCTCTCTAAGAAATGTTACAGCCTTGAGGTAGAGATGTTAATTTATTGTATTTACAGAAACAGAAACCTTTCAGGTGACCTTTGTGCAAACAGAGAAAGATAACCTTCTCCCAGGTAGATGTAACCTGACATCACTAGCCATGGCCTGGGCAGTAAAGACCCTAGATTTTAGCCCCAATTCAACCATAAAATGGATGCCTAAAAATGGGTCCTCTTTGGAACTGTGGAACCCCTAATTTAAACTAAGATAAGAGACTTGAATCTCTACTTTTGAGAGTACTAACATGCTATGTATCTTCCTACAGCGCCTGAGGAAGGCCCTTTTACATTCCCTAATGGAGAGGTTGTGGAACACTGCGAGGAGAGTAAGGATCGGACCATCATGCTGATGGGAGTGTCCTCGCAGAAGATTTCTGTTCGGCTGAAGAGGACTGTAGCCCACAAGGCAACGCAGACCGAATCACAGCCCTGGACTGGCAGTGAGGGCCCTTCTGGTCCCTTTGTGCTATCTTCTCCAAGGAAGACAGCCCAAGATACTCTTTCCGTGCTTCCCAGCCCCTCATCTCCATGTCCCAGCCCAGTCTTGGTCAGAAAACGTGCTTTCGTCAAGTGGGAGAATAAAGAATCCTTCATAAAATCAAAGGAGGAGCTCCGTCACCTCAGACTCCCCACTTATCAAGAGCTGGAACAGGTACCTTCCTGTTCATTTTCCTTTTTTCAAACGTTCTCAGAGAACTGGGGCTAAACAGGGAACAGTGTGTGTACTAAGGATTCTGGGATGTAGAAAGGGACAATGCTTATAAAGAAGCCAGTGGGGTACTTGGTTCACATTACCAGGTGGGAATAGGACACACAGCTCCCTACTGCCATCCAGCTGCTATTTCAGAGTGCTGGTGCCAGTTCCCAGAACTCTGCTCACAGTAGGCGCACTGAGAAAACAGCATTGCTACTGGTCAGCTTTATCGTCTGACACCACCCCATTTGTTTACATGGAATGAAAACAAACTTGCCTACATCATCTTTCCTTGAGGTCTTTGTTAACTTGCTCATCAGGGTATCATTTGGGACCTTCATGGTTTTCATGGTTGCCTAGGCATCTTTATAAAAGGTAGGTATGTTATCTTAGTGCTACAAAAGAAAAATAAAGAGAGGGTGAGGGCGTCGTCGATCACCACAGCAAATGCCTCTCTCTTAACAGAACACATTTATATTCCTAACGCATCAGAGATGGTGCTGATCTTCTACGCATATTAGAACAGTGACAGGTAGCAGGCAAAGGCACAGGAGAATGTGGCATAGAGCAATACCATCTATAGAATAAGAATGTGGCACGAAGAGCTACTTCTTTATGTCAGGCTCACAACGTTCTAATTATCAGGCAGCTCAGGAAGTCATCTGAAAAAGTTTACCAAGAAAAGGAAAACAGGGCCAGCAGATGGCAGAGCAGTTAAGTCACTGGACTCGCACCTGGCTGACTGCAATTTGAGTCCTGGACCTGGTAGCTTGCACAGGGCACATGTGTGTGTGCCCAAGATCCTGGGCCTCTCAATGTCTCTGTCTCTCTCACAGGTGAGCACACACACCCTAGGGCAACCCCCCCCCAAAAGAAAAGAAAAGGAAAACAAGTGTTTAGGAATATGCTTCCAAGTTTTGGGGCAAAGGGACAACAGTTTAAAAATACAAGAGGTAGGAAAGCAGGAGATGGAAGCAGAAGTCTTCAACTAGGACCCACAGGCAGTTGTCCAAATACTGAATCCTATTAATTACTAATACACTTCTCTTATTTAAAGAACACAGCTCATAATGGGACTAGCTCGGACCTTTTGTCAGGGGACAGTAGTTTCCTACCAATTACATGTAACTTAAGCCATCTTACACATAGGAAAGCAAGGGCACGTTAGTTTCAACATTACCAATCACTTAATTAAAAGGGAGGGATGTCTACGGTTTTTTCCTAAAATGCCAAGGTTTATACTGTTTTTGGAGACCCATCAGTACTAAGACAAAAAAAACAGTGCCCACCTAGCTAGATTCCTTATACAATTCCACATAATACATGGTGAGCCCACCCACCAGGGCTTCAAGATTCCCTGCACAGTTCGCTGTACTTTCTGCCAGGCTCCTAGAACTGAATTAGAGAAACATTTGAAGAAACAAGTTACAAAGTACATTGGGAAACTCTGGATTTGGTGTCTGGAATAAAGACTATAAATATTAGGAGAAACATATGGGAAAAGAGAAACAAATTATCCTGGGTGAAAGGAACTTGCTTGCCAAAGTATTTTTTTAGAAGAATTATTTTATTTAACTTTATTTATTTATTTTAGTTTGACCAGAGAGAGACAAAGCGAGATTGGAGGTGGGGAAGTGAGAAAGTATGCTGCCAAGAAGTCCGGAACTCGAACCATGGTCAGCCATGTGGCAGTCAGCACCCTTAACCACCACACCACCTAAGGGCCACTCAAAGTATTTTTAAGATCTGCTTTAAGAATGAAGTCAAGGGACCAGCAGGTAGTGTAATAACTACATATCTGGACTCCCATGTGGTCGACTGTGGTTTGAGCCCTAGACCCAGTGGCTTAAACTCATGCCGGGCACATGCTTGTGCATGCCCAAGAGCCCAAGAGGAGAAAGAAGAAATTGCGGCATGGCCATCCCCCTGGGGGTTGATTTCTCGCTTTCTGTGTCTGTCTTTCTGGTGAACGCATGCACCCTATAGCAAAAACCTCTTAAAAAAAAAAAAAAAAAAAATGAATGAAGTCAAGGCACAGTTACTGTTGGTAGCTCAATGCTTTATGCCGCTGGAAGCCACAAGGAGATTAGCACCAATTCCCAGGTCCACCTGTACACACCAGGGTGTGCTCTTGCCTGTGCGCTCATGATCCTGGCTGGCTAAAAGGCTAGAGTGGGCGTGGAGGAATCACAGTATGAAACCTTGTTGAGGATGCTTGTCTTCTCTCTTTTGGTCTCTTTCTCTCTCACAAAAGAAACTTTAAAAAAGTCAACTAGAGGTGGCAAAACATGTTTCTATATTAATTAATATTTACAGTATGAATAAGTATCCACATTATTTTAAATATATGTGTACCTTCACACCAGCATTGGACAAAAAGAAACAAAAGCTCTTAAGACTGGCTATACCTGAGTTTAAATGCCCAGTCTGATAATATATGGCAATGTTTTCTGCTTCTAGAAAATTGGTACACTATTTTCAGTGTTTGTGAGAGTTTGGATAGTCTCTTATCAAGTAACACAGCAACAGGCACACACCAAATACTCCACATTAGTATCGTAGCTAACAGACAGCTATGGGATAATTCAGGTTAAGAAACAACTCAGTGTATCCCAAATTGCAGACACTACCTGTATATTCTTTGGGCATAACCAGTATGGTATAAGAATACTGAACTCAAAATCATAAGACTGAAAAATCAGCTTTGGGCTCTATAATTAAATCATTGCAAATTAGGTCACTAAAACCCAGTTCAGAGGATGGAAAAAATTTATCAAAAGGGTACGCGAATTTTTAATGGTTTTTGTTATGTGGGGGAAAGAACTTACTGGAACATCTCACATAACAGAATTTCTAATCAGTGTTCATGGCCCACACCTGATCAGACCATCCATGCCAAGGTAAGATCACCCACTATGTAACATCCAAAGGTTTTGTCATTACCCACCTACTGCCTGGGAATGGTTTACTCTGCCTGTTAGCCATTCACATCGTTGATATGATAATGAAGACTAACTGCTGTTTGCACATGCTCATTTGATATTTAACTTGTTATTTTCTATTCAGGGCAAAATAACTCTCTTGAAAATAGTTTTTTAATTTTCAGCCACGGTGAATAGGAGATGCCGATCAAGTACAGTACTCCTGATATTGTAACGGCTTTGCTATTCATTGCTGCTTTATTAACGTACCTCATTTTCCTTTTCCTTTAGGAAATAAATACCCTGAAAGCAGATAATGATGCCCTAAAGATCCAACTGAAATATGCACAGAAGAAAATAGAATCCCTCCAGCTTGAAAAAAGCAATCATGTCTTAGCTCAAATGGAGCAGAGTGACTGTTCTTAGCCCAGACATCCAAGGAGCACAATCCATAGATGAGTGTACTGGAAATCTCATTTTCTAAACTGATGAACACAAAGACCTGGGTACTTTAAGACTGACTGGCTTTAAAAAGGGCACTTTAAAAAAGAACATCCAAGTAACTGTTTTTGTACCTAAGAGATTCCTAGTGTGCATGACAGTTTTCTTGTAGTCACTTGACTCAAAAGGGGAAGAAAGCTGAACAATGTAAAACCTCTGCCATTCATTTCATGAACTTTCCCCCTTGGGACTAATACTCCAAAGTGTGCTAAACACGATGCAGTTAGCTGACAAGGTACCGCCTCACATGGCCTGTTCTGCTGATTCTTCTATAGAACTGGAAAATGAATGTTTCCTTCCCTGGGTTTTCTGTGAACTGACGAATTTCCTTTGTTCCATCCAAAGCTTGCTTAAAATGGGAAAATACTCACATTCCAAAAGTACATTTACTTCTCCATATCCCAGCATTCCTGGTGAATCTGGTCCCTACTTCACTACCTCAATTAGCCTCTTTCCTCTTCTTCCTCACTACACTTACACACAGAAGCATATCTACCTAAAGGAACTTCTAGAGAGGTAGCCTCAACTCCTTAGAGACCTACTAAGCAACATGGCATCGTCCAATTGCAGGTCTGGTTATTTTTGTAGTCTTATTGTCATCATAAAGTAAGTAATCAAGTTAAGTACCTGAAATATAGTAACTATTACCACCTCACACATAACTGATGAATAAACATAATGCAAACATATTTGTCTTCATGTATTTTACAGTGGATAGAATTAGGGATTTATGGCTTTTTAAAAAAGTCAGAGAACAGTCCACTTAACTCTTCATGTTCCATCTTTATCTCTTTCCTTTGGATTTTTGCAAGAGGGCATGTGTGCTGGCTGGAGAGAGATCAAGGGAGGGAAGAGAGAAAGAGAAAGCATCCCATGGGGGATGGTCACGCCAAAATCTCTTCTTCAGTTCTCCTTCCTTTTGGGATTTTGAATGTGTGCACATACAAATGCCCGACCAGTTTTTCAAGTCACTGGGTCCAGGCCTCGAACCTTGCAGTCTGTCATGTGGGATCCAGTCACCTTAATGACCATGTCACCGGCTGGCCCAAAAAGTAAACTATTTTTCAAGTTCTTTTTTTGAACTAAATTTGTGCTGAAATTGTCTTCACTATCAATACTACTTAGAAATAAGCTAGTTAAATCAGTAGATTAAATAAAAGCTGACAGCATGTACATATGTATATATATACACAGTATTGGGCATGCAAGTAACTTGGAATTTTGTTTCCTCTTTCAAAAATCTGGAAGGGAATTAAACAACTTTTAGTCATTTATGCAAGTTCACAAATACAAAGTTTAGTTTGTTACAAGATGGAGAAACCGCTCATAATGTAAATCACAAGTGACAGTCCTATGAGTTTTTTTTTCCTTTTCCGAAGGTTAATGATAAATAAGCTTACTTAGTTGTCTGGGCAACTACTCACCAGCTCCTTTGTCAGCCTCTTTTTAGTTTTCTAAAAAAAATTCACAGGATCGCTTTTATGTTGGGGAGGTACTTAGTTTTCATGTTTGGAAAGTCCTGTACCAAGGTCACTTGACATTTATATATGAGTTGACTATCTGCTGTGATCATCATCTTAACAATTAGAAGTTCCAAGCCTAAAGCCAACAGCACCAAGCCTTTACACAACAAAGTACATCTACAGTGTTGCTTACTTGGAGGATTCAGATCAGTAAGACCGTTCTCTGATGAAAGATTAATTCTCATTTGCACACCTCCTTATACTGAGTTTATGTCACCCACAACTAGCTTGTTGTTAGTGTTTCATAGAATTTTCAAAGAACCAGTTTAAACACAAATTTACCCTTCTCAGAAATTCTTAAAGCAGGGCTTCTTAGATCCGCCACCTGGTATATAAATTTACAGTAGCACTTCATTACTTGCTTTATATAGAACAAACAAAATTCATATTCTTCATGATTAATTCTTTTCCTTTGATATAGACCAAAGAAGGAGTAGCTCAATCTCTTTAAACATAGTCATAAAACACTGTTTTTTCATTCTTCTTATACCCTCAATCCAAAATAAAGACCCCAGGATAGTTTTTATGTAAATAATCTGTAACATATAGAAATTCAAAAGGTCTCAGTCCCCTTAACTGCTCAAATTAACATGGTTAGAGTCTAACAGCAGAATTTATCACTACAGCAAACAGAAAGCAGTAGTTTCATCATGGGCTTTTACAATTCAGAAAGGGAAAAAGAAACATGTATTAGAGTACACATTAATATCATGTATGTTGAGCTACATGGGGTTTGTGGAATCTACAGAAATAATGTGAAAGTTTTTGATTCATCAAGCCTAGGATGCAAATTTCTCTCTTCATACTGACTTGGACCTAAGTTTGGGCAGATATGCCTGCCAAGACAAGGAGAAATCTTACTTCATCAACGGTGTCACTTCTCATTATTTGTTAATTGCCTTTTTACTGACCATTGTGAATATCTGTCTAAAGATATATAATGTAAAAGAACTACAAGAAACAAAACCAGATGTACAGATTGTAAAGTGTTTGTTTTTGATACTTAATGTAAGTTTTCTTTGTGTAATATTTATATGATAAAGACATTAGGACCCCCTATAACATAAATGTCTTGTGTCCTGCTTAATGAATACATAGAAACTTCACCTGGATTTTTACTATAATCTAAACTGAGATCACTCTCCTAATTCTCTTAACAAAATTGAAGTTTTCCTAGACTTTCCCATTTAAATGCTTCTATATCTTTTCACAACATGAACAAGCAACAGTATACAAATATTCAACATTTTCACATTGTTCATGACTTACATTGACACCCCCCCCCAAAAAATATTAGGTCTATAAACACTTAACATTAAATGAGACAAACCTGAAGTTCTCATTTCTCTGCTGCCTCCATCCTGTAATTCCATAGTTGTTCAGTCTAAGCAACTAGCAGGTAAAGAGAAAACATTTTGTACCTATAGGTAAAATTAGTAGATGGTTCAAGCCAGCATACAGATTCACCTGCAGCAATTCACTAGGGTCAGGCTTATTAGTAATCAGAGAGAGTCAAGATTTTCCTTAAATTCCCAGCATTTTTCAATTTTAACCATATCAGAGAAGAGAGGGAAAAATTTCAGTCACTCAGATGACACTGTGGAATGCATCCTGGTACATCTGGATAGGGGTTTATTTATCATTTTGTCAATTCATAACACTCTATACAAACTAATAAAGTCTCACTGACAACCTAATCATGAAGAAGAGATAGAACTGCCTTGTCACCTCTACCCCCAATGACCATCCCAGACGGCTTGCCTGTGTTTTTTTACAAGGTATACAGATAGTATCAATGCTTAGAATACTTTCTGGACACAAATCCTTTCTTTTTTTAGGTTGTCATACTTTCTTTTATAACAAATATGGGTAATAAATTTTAAGTTTTTTTTCTTTTTTCCTGTTTCATGAAATAATGTTTCCCTGATGTGCACAACACAAGGAAATAGATTCAAAGAAAACACCTGTTTCTGTTTCAATGAAAGGTTATAAGTAATGGTATGGGTGATTTTGAATGGACAGGACATATGTTCTTCATAAGATCCAGAGCAAAGGTCAGTTATGACTTTAACATCTAGTAAAAGCATGTCAGTACCAAGACAGAAGGAACATGGGATGTTAGAAAAAAAAATGAAATAGAGAACCAGGCAAAACACAAATGAAGAGGAGGACTGAAAAAAGTGTTGGATTTTAGATAGCAGTGAAGTGCCACCCATGACAGTCTTCTATATTGCGCTCAATTTATAAAATGTTTTCACATTACGTCCTTTCACATGAAGGACCCAAATCACTTTGTTGCTTGTTCTTAACCAGAAAACTGATCTACAAAATAATTTTTTTAAGGTTTTGTGATAGGGCATGTGTGCTCTAAGTAGAGAGAGAGACAGTGAGGCAAAGTGAAAAATCACCCACTGGGAGGATGGCTATGCCACAACTCCCTTCTCCATTCTCCTCCTGGGATTTTGGGCATGCACACACACACCCAGTGTGATTTTCAAGCTGCCAGGCCCAGGACTTAAACTGCAGTTGGCCATGTGGAAGTCCAGCACTTTAACCACCACACCACTTTGATGGCCCCTATAAAATAATCTTTTTTTTGGCGGAGGAGAGGTTATTGCTATAGGGCGCGTGCGCTCGCTTGAAAGACAGAGAGAGACAAAGAGAAAAAAAGCAAGAAATCATCCCCCGGGGGGGATGGTCACGCTGCAATCACTTCTCCTCTATTCTCCTCTAGGGATCTTGGGCACGCACGCACACACGCCTGGCATGAGTTTAAGCCACCAAGTCCGGGACTCGAACCACGGTCAGCTACATGGGAGTTCAGTGACATAGCCACTACGCTAACTGCTGGTTCCCTAAAATAACTGTGCACAAAAATAATGAAAATGCTACCTACTTTATGAAGAAAAATAAGATATTAGGATCTAGATACTGATATTTCATTAAAGTAAGTTTTTTAATGTGTGAGTGGTTTTAGCTCTAACATGATTCTAGAAACAAATGCTAAACTTAGACAAGACTTATAATTAGGCCAGCACTATAGCACAGTGGTTAAGAGAGCCAGATCTCACATGGCCAAATGTGGTTCAAATCCTGACCTCAGTGGCTTGAAAAGCACACCAGGTGCAGGCACATGAATGCCACAGATCCCAATGAAAAGGAGAAGTGGAGAAGCAGCTATTGCGGTGTGACCATGCCCCATTGAGAGTTGCTTTCTCCATACCTCTCTGATATTGTCGCTCTGGCAAGCCTATGCACTCTCTGGCAACGAGATTTAAAAAAAGGAAAGAAAAAAAAAAAAAAAACAAGAAATTGATTAATGAATATTTCCTTCTGTTTATTTTGTGAGAGATTTTTGCTATAGGGTGCCTGCACTTGCCAGAGAGACAAAGAGACAGAGAGACACAAAGAAGAAATCACACCTCAGGGAGGATGGCCAGACCTCAATCCCTTTTCCTCCATTCTCTTCTCAGGATCTCACGTATGCATACGTCCCCAGCATTAGTTTCAAGCCACCAGATCCAGGATTTGAACCACAGTCAACTACGAGGAAGTCCAGTAATGTAACCATTATACCATCTGCTGGTCCCAATAAACTAATGTTCCTGCCATATTTACTATAAATACATTATTTATAATACATTTACCACTTTTAGTGGTAAAAAGTTGTAAGTAGTTGTAAATCCCTTCTGTATCAGCAAATAATGCTCTTACAAAAGAATGAAGAAGCAGTATAAAGGCTTAAATGAACATTTTAAAACTAATACCTCTTTGGAAATATTCACTCAGTGGCCTTTAGTTTACATATTTTAAAAATCATTTATTTTCAGAGCTTGTAGCTACTGATAAAGCTCTTTCTTATAGAAAATCTTTTCCTTCAACTGTTATAAATGAAATTAAGTCTCTTCGCTAAATATAAACACACGCACACACAAAAAAACCTACAAAAGCCTAGGTTTAGAAATAACTAAAGCACTTGGTTTTTCAATCCTGAATACATTTCTTCAAAAAGTTAGTTTGGAAAATACATAAAGCATACACAATATTTACTTTTAAAGTTCTAACATTTAGATTTCAGCATGGGGCTTACTATACAAAATTTTAAAATTAAAAAACATAGTAATAACCAAAAAAACCTATCAAATATCATTTGTCCACTGGTAATAATTCAGCTTTTATATGCTGAGTTAGTTGGATTACAGAAAGTTGTTAGACATAGGTGCTGACCAGCCACCTACACTGAAATACAGATTTTACAGTGGGGTTAAAATATTTTGTGTAGCCAGTTTTTTTTTGTTTGTTTTTTTTGTTTTCTCTCTCAAACTTCTTACTCTAAGAAAAATATATATATTACCCTACCTCTTAAACCATTCACAATAGGCTCTCTACAAATTTTTGACAAATTGTACTTAGTTTTTTATGAAACATCTGAAAAAGGGACAAGTGACTCATCCCTCATTTGACAAATGTAGACAAATGAATCCTTGAGAGCTAAAGTCATTTCAACTCATAGTACCCCTGGCCTAGTGCAATAATTCTAATTCATAACTCGTGACCCTCTGATTACTCCAACCATCAAACCACACACAGCCATTCCCTAACCAAACCTGTGTTCCCCAAATCTAGCTGTGAATCAGATGTACCAAAGGATGCCTTAGCACTACCCCAAAATAGCTGACACTGGACATTACTGCTGTAATCCTATGTGATATTGCTCAGCCTGCTTTTTAATACATGGATAGCTAAAATTGAGGGCACAAATTCTGAAGAAATCAGTTTATAAAAATATTATTCACACCACCATGTACAATCGGAACATGTTGTCCTTTGAAAATAATTCTGACCTCAATCTTTACCTTTGTTTCATCAAACGAAATCACACAGACTTCAAATCTAATCGGGAAATAAATCAAACATGCAAAGCAAAAATACACTTGGGTTTCAATTAGTGGAACTTTAATAGAAACCTAGTCAGAGGATTTGTTTTTTGCAGGAGTTGTTACGGGACGATATTTCCTTCCTATAAAAAACAAATCATGACAACTACTTATTGAACACAATTTATCAGTCCCTTTCCCTATTCTATAAAGTAGAATTAACAAGTACAAAGCACATCCACAGGAATATAGATGAAGCAAGAGTCTATATTCCTTTCCATTGCAGGTGGGGTCATTTAATGTGTCTTGAACCTGAACAAAATACAGGTAACAGTCTAAATTCTTCACGACAATAAAATACTTTCTATTTTCCAAGTTTGATGGTAACAAATATTTACATTTTAAAAAATTTTTGTTCATTTTTTTTGTTTTTTAAAAAGATACAACATGCTCAAGGGTACACAGAATATGGGGAAAAATCATGACTTCATCTGAGATCAACTGGTAGTATAAAACAATATTCTTACATAGTAACATCCTCAGGGAGCCTAACATGGTGTTTACGTCAATAGTGATATTCAAGTATGTTATTTAGAACACTATGCCTAATGTATCTACCAAAAAGTAAGAACTGCTATCCAATTTTTGTAGTTTTTAATATCTTCTATATCCACCGCCACCACCTCCTCCTCCTCCATATGGATCTCCATAACCTCTTCCACCATAGCCCCCTCTTCCACCATAGCCTCCTCTTCCACCTCCTCCTCCCCCCCAGCCACCTCTTCCACCCCCACCACCTCCTCTACCACCACCTCCACCACCACCCCAACCTCCCCTTCCACCGCCTTCTTGTCTCTTCTGCCAAGGGGGCATTTCAGGAGGTGGTGGTTCAATTTCATTCGGCCGTCCTCCCCTGTCAGGTACCCTTCCCATCAGCACCTGTGTGAAGAAACATTTTATTTCATTTTCTCTTATCTTAAAAGTTGAAATTTACATAAAGGTTTCAAGTGATAGTTATCATTCCTAATAAAAAAATAGAAGCCAAACATTTAAGAACATGCAAGTATGAGACATGGCAGCATGAATTAATATTGAAAATGTGTGATGCATGCCAAATTCCCCAGAATGTAGAATTATTTTAAAACTAACTAATGTTTCTGAAACTTAAGGGCTTCTTAATTGTCTCATTTCAATTTGTTTAGAAAATTCTGCAGCAAATGAAGTATTCACCACACTAACAAAATTTTTTAGCACGACATTTTCAATATGCATAAACTAATGCCCTGTATTTAGTAACTTCATATCCATTTACATGACAATAACTTCTGGATTTTCTACTGCCACAGATTTGATAATGGATTATCTAATAAGAAACTATTGCTAAGCACATTTTATTTTAACAAAAAATGAAGTATATACGATAGCACGTAATGAGGTCAGGGAAGGATAAAATAATCCCAGCTATCACTGCAAACAGTTATAAGGATTGTCAATGAACTATTCCGTTCTTTGGAGAAACTTAAGTTCACTTACTTCAATGATGATACCAGTTAACATATTATTTTATGAAAAATGAAGAACTGATATACTTCCTTAGCCATGCTTTACAAGAAATACTTTAAAAGATAAGTACAAGAGTTTAATTTAAGTCCCTATCTGTAGAAAGGAGCCACTTTATATATCCATGAGCAGGGGAAACACAGACAGTGGTGAGGAGGATGCCACCCACCCACCACAACCAAAGTAAGCCAAGAACTCCCTACTGGTGTCTCTCAGGAAAGAATAAAAAACAGTAATTGCCTCAACCAAAATAGACTATGAATTAGTTGGAAGGCACGTCCATAAATCCTGCAATCAAAACCATGGTTAAGAATTTACGTCGATTCAGGAATTAGGACCACTGAAGGCCTTCTGCCCAGTCTTCCCCCTCCTGTACCCCAGATCTAGCCAGAAGCCAGGAAAAGCCCATCAGCAGCTGTCTATATCTGAGTTCTTTCTATCTCTCCATCTCTCTCTCTCTCTCTCTTTATATATATATATAATTTCTCTGCCACTCTTTTGTCTTGCTCCCTACCTTTCTCCCTACCCCCATAGGAAAAGTCAATTAGCAGCCATCTATATCTCAATTCTGAGCAGACCCATTCAAGGATTAGAACTACCAACGACCTTCTGCTCAGACTTTACCCTCCTGCCCTCCAGATATAGCCAGGAGCCAGGTTAGAACACCTGATTTATTCTTTCTCCATCTATGTCTATTTAAATTTTTTACTTTTTAGCTTTCTGCCACTCCTTTTTTCTTGCTACTTCTTACCTTTCCCCCGCCCCCACAGTGGGCAAGGACAAGCCAATCAGCAGCTATCTATATCCAAGTTCTAAGTGGCCACACTCACACGGTGCACTAGCACAAGGAGTAGGTTTTAATTTTTTGCTCAAAAAAAAATTTTTTTTTTTTAAGAGGTTTTTGCTATAGGATACATGTGCTTGCCGGAAAGACAGAGAGAGACAGAAAGACAGAAAGCGAAAAATCACGCCCCAGGGGGATTGGCCACAAGGCAATCCCTTCTCCTCCACTCTCCTGTTGGGATCTTGGGCATGCACGCACACGCACTGGTGTGAATTTAAGCCACCAAGTCCAGGACTCAAACCACAGCCAGCTACGCAGGAGTCCAGCAACATAGCCATTATGCCAACTGCTGGTCCCCAAGAAAGCAAGCCACTAAGTCTGGGTCTCGAACCGTGGTTGGCCATGTGGGAGTCCAGTGCCTTAACCACCATATAACCTGCTGGTCCCTTTTTGATTTTTTTTCCTCCTTTTTTGTTTTTGTCTTTCTTTTTCCTTTCTCACTTTTCTGCTCAGCCTCCACACACTGATTTTCTAGACAGGTCTAGTTGCCCAGTAGCAAATATCTGAATACTTTTAGGGTCAGCTTAAGCCTATATTTCTATTGAATCAGCTGTGCAAAGGGAGAAAACCAGTATTGTTTAGAGAGGGCAGGTCACCTCCTCCTGCATTCCTCTGAATGCTCAGATTTAACTCCAAAAACTAGGAAAAAAGTATAATCCATCAGATGACCAGAAACCACTACAAAGGCACAAGAAATATGAAAACCATGAAAATAACTCTCTCCCAAGAGAAAAGAATAACTCCTCATCCTCCACAGACAATATAGGGAACTTGTGGAAATATCAGATAAAGAATTTAGAATATTCATAGTGACAAAGCTTAACAGAGATGCAAGAGAAGAGAAATAATGAACTCCAGAAAATGCAAGAGAAAAGAGACAATGAGTTCCAGGAGGAGAGGAAGTTCTTGCATGATCTGACAGAGGAGATACACAGCATGAAAAAGAATCAGACAGAATTGTTACAGATGAAGGCAGTAATACAGGAAATCAAAATCTCCCTTAAAAATATCAAAAGCAGATTAGATAATGCAGAAGATCAAATCTCTGATGTAGACAATAGAGCCTCTGACCTAGAAAAATTCACCAAAAACACTGAGAATATAACCCCCCAAAAATGAGAACAACATACGAGTAATACTAGATACCATTAAAAGCCCAAACATCCAGATCATTGGTATGCCAGAAGGTGAAGAAACTAGTAAGAGCACTGATAATCTATTCCATGAAATCCTAGAAGAAAACTTTCCAAACCTAGAGAAGCACTCAAATATCCAGACTCAAGAAATACAAAGGACCCCACATGGAATCAACCCAAGAAGATCTTCCCCAAAGCACATCATAGCCAGATTGACCAAAACCACAGAGACAAGATAGTAAATTTGGCAAGAGAGAAATGTCAAGTTACTTTCAAAGATACCCCATAAGGCTAACATTGGACCTGTCATAGGAAACAATGCAAGGAAAGAATGGGGAAATACATTTGAAGCATTAAGTGAAAAGCAATTTCAACCAAGAATACTATACCCAGCAAGATTATCTTTCATATGGGGGGAAAAAAAGACAAAAATATTCTCAGATAAACAAAACCTAAAAGAATTTACCAACATCAGACCAGCTCTCCAAGAAGTGCTGAAGGGTGTGCTATACCAGGAAAACTAAAGTCGGACACAAGAAGTAAGAGTACAAAAAACAACCAGGAAAATGGCCAGCCTAATGGTAGGGACAAGTCGAGTTGAATGTTAACTTCCAGACTTTAAACAGAAAGATCAGACCATAGTAAAACTGCAAATACAATAGAAGAGAGATTAATTACATGAGACTAAATTAGTGAAATAGAATTTTTTGACCTTAGAATAAAACATTACTGATTTTTTTTTTGACCTTAGAATAAAACATTACTGATTCGATGCTTTGATTTCCATATTATGGATTTTTGTCTTCCCTTGAACTGTTGGTAGGTTCCCTACCTGCTATTTGAATTGAATCCTAACCTTTTTCCTGGCTTTAAATTTTAAGCAAATTTCTCTTAACATTTTTGATTTTGTTCTATTAAAACTAAAACTGTTTTCCTTGAAATTAAATAATGCATAAAAAAAACTATTACTACCTATTTAATGACTACAGTAAGCTCTATAGCCCCAGCTAGGTGCTACATTAAAGTATGTTCACTTTACTCACTGACGTTTACGCCTAAAATCAGACATGTGTTCATAGATATGTATATATTAGCAGTGCTTGTTAGCTAAAGTTTTTAAATTAATTAAGATCTTAAGGGAATCAATAAAATGTAAAAAAAAGCCATAGAAAACAACTGTAGATATCAGAGACAGTGTAGGAGAAGGGGGGAAATTGGCAGATGGTGAGAAGTAGGGAATCAAGGAGGGAAAAAGTGAAATATAAAAGAAAGAAGAAATAGAAAATTATTTGTTGATGATAACATGTATGGTAATATAGTCTAGTCTTATTGGATCAAGAGTTCTACTTCTCTGGGTAATAGTATCTGTCTCTTTTCTGAATTTCTAATTCAGAAATGTCTAATTAGAATACTTGATTATTTGAGGGAAATCTTAGAATCAGTTCTGAGAGCAGCCTATCCATACTTACCAAGTATCATGCTGATGGAGAGATCAGAGAGAACAACAACTGAGAAGGGCTGTTGAGCCAATGCACAATATATTCTGGATGGAAAATCTCATTCTGTTACTGTAATGATGTACAGTGAATGACTGTACATAAATTTTTTAAAATAAGTAAATTAATTAATTAATTAAAAGAATTTATGTCATCAGGACCAGCAGATGGCATAATGGTTACATCACTGGACTCCCACGTAGTCAACTGTGGTTCAAGTCCTAGATCCACTGGCTTAAAATTCACACCAAACTTGCGTGTGTGCGTGCCCAAAATCCCAAGAGGAGAATGGAGGAGAAGGGATTGCAGCATGGCCATGCCATGTCCACAGGGGGCAATTTCTTGCTTTCTGTTTCTGTCTCCAGCGAGAGCACATGTCCTATAGTAAATCCCTCTCAAAAAAAAAAAAAAAAAAAAAACAGGAATTTATGTCATCAATGAAAAGCAAAAAATATAGAATCCTTACTACAGGACAGATAAGATTCTAGGTACGCACAGTTCCAAGTGTGCAAACATTCTTTTAAAACCAGCAAGAACGTCCAAATTGTCAAATCTAAACAACAGTCCTTCTCAGTTGTTGTTCACACTGATCTATCAGCATGATACTTGGTAAGTATAGATATCTCTGATCTCTCTATCAGCATGATACTTGGTAAGTATAGATATGCTACTCTCAGAACTGATTATAAGATTATCCTCAAATAATCAAACATTCTGATTAGACATTTCTAAGTTAGAAATTCAGAAAAGAGACAGATACTGTTACTCAGAGAAGTAGAACTCTTGATCCAATAAGATTAGATTATAACCAAATGCAAGATATTAAATAACATATTTAAAGAAAGAACACTTTAGAAAGACAGAGGAACAGTCCAAATGGAAGTGCAGAGGCACACACCAAGATGTCTAAGTAAGTAATAACTAGCAAACTGACTTTAAAACAATTATCCTCTAGTAAGGTATCCTATCCAGGCTACGGTGAGTGAGAAACAATGTTTTAAAATTGTCCAAATCCCTGACTTTTGATTTTGTTTTACTGTAAAAGGTTTACAAGAGAAGATTTGCTATTCGAGCTGACATAAACATTCTAAATTAGTTTACTCTTATTATTGCTGTTGTAAAATAAAAAATTCAGATGTCTTGAGCTTACTTAAGTCTCTGATCAGGAAGTGAAAGTTCAAAGAGATTTGGTAACTTGTCCAAGGTAATTCCTCTAAATAAATGACAGTGCTAAAAATGGGAATGCAGACGCGTTGACTCCAAAGCACTTAACTCTTCTTCCCTTCACACCAAGGATGTAAAAAGTCTGTCAATCGCTTCAACCTTTTTGCTAAGATCAAGTGAATAAGTCTGTCAGTATCTGAAATGATTCCTACTGACAAAAAATGATTATTCTTGTTAATGCTGTTGATAAAAACAATTCTGTAATTCTGAATTCCCCTAATCCATAAAAAAAATTGTATTTATGAATACAAAAATTCAAATGAATACACACACACACACACACACACACACACACACACACACACAAATAACCACGCCCAGATGGAATGAAGCTCCTGCATCACTCTCTTTTCCAAGTTCACCAAGACATAAAAGAACCTAGGATGAAATCTATAAATACATCAAAGGGGGACATTACAGACCTACTCCAGTGGGCTGAGAAAATGACTGACCTTATTAATAGCACAAGCAGTCTTTTCCCGGCTAGTGCCACTGCTTGTTCTGATTATCTTGGATAGATCTTCACGAGCAGCAAGCAGATGTGCCAATGTAATTGTTGTCTTGGGCGACAAAGCATAACGCTTAGGCTGGTAAATTCTTGCTATGTCATCTGTTTTTACCTAAATGAGAAAAGTTAGGGAGAAAAAGAACAAGGTTAAATTTTTTTTAAAAAATACCAATCATAATTTTCAGAAAGAAAAAATGATAAGGCACAAGCAAGGAAACAGGAAAGATAAAAAAAACTTCCAAATATCTGGTGATAATTTATATGAAGAGTGAAAAAAAAATCCCAACAGAAAAACCGTTGCTAAAAGAATATGTAACTACCAGAACAACTCGTTAAAAAATACGACACAGAAAGATTCTATTCATACAAAATACCTAAATATAGTTTTACAAAAACATATACAGGACCTTTAAAAAAGAAAACATCAGTAAATCTTGCAAAAACAAAAGGAATACATAGAGAAATGGTGAAAAGTACCAAATTTCTGGATTACAACACTGAGAACTAGTGTCAGTTTTTCCTCAAGTTAATTTACAGATTAAAATGTACTGTAATCCCATTGACTGGAATGTTTTTAGAAACATGAAAATAAATACAAAACTAAAGTTAATCCAGAAACTAGATATGTAATGATGACTAAAAACTTTTGAAAAGGAAATCTTGCCAGATACTGAGAAGAGAGGTCTTCCAAAAGTGCATGGAAAATACTTACTATGAAAAAACTATGTGGATTTCAAAAATCTTTTGCATTAAAATAAACTTTTACTTTAATTCCATTTTCCATAAACTTAAAAAAAATTGGTATTTTTGTTAATGGCAAAGCACATGTATGTGCAAGAGAAAGAGAAAGAGACTCATCAGCACCCTCCATAAGACCTGGTTATGCTGCAATCAGAGACTCATCAGCACCCTCCATAAGACCTGGTTATGCTGCAATCCCTTCTCCAGTTCTCCAGCCCATTGGATCCTGGGCACTTTTGCACGTGCCTGGCATGTTTCAGGCTGACCAGCCCAGGGATTCAAACTGTAGTCACCATGTGAAATCTAGCTTCTCTTAAACAGCTCATTACCACTGTGCCATGGATTTGTTAATGCTGTTGATAGAAACAAATCCTGTAATTTGGAATTCCTCTAATTCATAAAAATTTTTTATTTATGAACACAAAAATTCAAATGAATATACATACTCACACAAAGTTTGTAGTATCCTCATAACAATATGAAATTACCATCATTGTTTAACAGCTGACATTTATTGAGCACTGAATGCTGCTCACTTATTAGGCATTATTTCTTTAATTCTCAAAATGTCCTTAGAGTGGTTTTCATTAACCATTTCACAGATGGCAAAAAAAAAGAGATTTAAAAAGCTTATGTTATTGGGAACAGAAGTTGGCATAATGGCTATGTCACTGGATTCCCATATAATCAATCGCGGTTTGAGTCCTGGACCCGGTGGCTTAAACTCACACCGGGCACATCTGTGTGCATGCCCCAGATCCAGAGAGAAGAATGAAGGAGAAGGGATTGTGGTGTGGCCATCCCTTCTGGGGGGTGATTTCTTGCTTTCTATCTTTGTATTTCTGGCAAGCGCATGCACGCTATAGCAAAAACCTCTCAAAAAAAAAAAAAAAACACTTACGTTACTTTCCCAAAATATAGGGAATCCCAGTTCCACCCACTTACTAATAAAAGCCAACCTGACCCCTAGTATGTATACAGATAACAGAATACTGTCCTACCTCAGTCTAATTAATTGGCTCTTAGAGAAGAAAAAAAAAAAAAACTAAAAAAACAGATTGATCAAATAAAATAGATGATTGAGATTTAAAGCCTCTTAAATGTAAGAATGCAATAAATGATAAATGGGGAATTACAGATCAATGAGAAAAGGAAAGGAGTATATTTTAAATAGCACTGAAATAAACCATTGGCTATTCATAAAGATAATAACAATGGGCCAGAAAGTGGCATGGTTAGGGCAGTTGGATCCCACATGGCCAACTATACAGTTCAAGTCCTGGTCCTGGAAGTTTAAAAAACACCCTAGGCACGTGTGCATGCATGCCCAAATACAGAGAAGAAAAGAGAATTAAAGAGAAAGGATTGTAGCATAGCTATAACCTCTGGGGAATGCCTTCTTACTTTCTCTTTTTTTTCTGTCTTTTCCTACCCTCCTCCCCATGGTGAGAACATGCACCCTATAGCACATTTAAACACAATTTTTAAAAAAATAAATAATAATAGGGTACATCATACATGTAACAAAGAGAATTCCAAAGAGAACAGAATGAACTGCTTAAAGTTTTATTTTAAATTGAAAAATTTACATTATAAAGATTAAAATCTCTATACATCAAAAGGTATAAAACAAAACCAAAAGAAACCTGGGGAAAATATTTACAACAAATAAAGCAACTAACAAACTTCCTTAATGTATAAAAAGCTCAATCAAAAGGAAAATAGAAACACTCCACAGGGGAGAAAAAAGAGAAGACAAATAGAAGTTTCAAAAAAAGAGGAAATTCAAATGACTAATAAGCTTATGATAGAAAGTTCAACTTTACCAATAAGAATATTCAAATTTAAAAAGTTAAGTCTTTTTAACCATTAAGTTAATAATAAAATTTACAATATTCTAAATATTAAGGAGGTTAAAGTGAGAAAAAAAAATCTCATTTACCCTATTTGTAGTTAAGTTCATGCACGCTTCCCAGAAAACAATTTGGCCATGGGAATCAAGACCATGAAGAGTCATAACACTTGACACAGTAAATTTCCTTTCAATATACAATTAAAATATACATCGAAAATTACATATAAAAATCATACAAGGAGAGGGGACCAGCAGATGGCGTAATGGTTACATCACTAGTCTCCCACACGGCCGACCACAGTTAAATTCTGGACCCAGAGGCTTGAAGCTCACACTGGCTGTGTGTTTGTGCATGCCTGAAATCCCAAAAGAATGGAAGAGAAGGGACTACAGCCTGGCCATCCACTCTGAGGTGATTTCTTGTTTTCTGTCTGTTTCTGGCAAGCGCACGCACCCTATAGCAAAAATCTCCCTTAAAAAAAATTATACAAGGAAGCATTGCTAGTATTAGTTAATATAGGAAAAAAGTATAAAATAAGAGTCAAGTTGTTTATGGTCATGACTGATAAAATACAATGCAGCCATAAAAAGGATATGATTCTATTGATATAAAATGCCCACAATGGGCAAACCCATAACGACAGAAAGTTTATGCCACTGCATGGTTGCCAGAGAATAAAGACAGGAGTACTACTAATGGGTGCATATTTCATGTTGAGGTGATAAAATGTTCTGAAATTTGATAGTGGAAATGACTACACAACTTAGTGAATATACTAAAACCACCAACTTGTACACTTCAAAATGATGAATTTTATGTTATGTAAAAATTACATTTCAAAAAAAATAGTAAGTTAGAAATTAATTTTAAAAGGTTATTAAATACACCTTTTAGAAATACGGGTCAATGGTAACTATATTTAGCAAAAAAAGGTAAACTATAAAATTGTACGAGTATTATTGTAATGCTAGCAAATAAATAAGATTACTCTTACTAATAAATAAAATCAAACATACTCTTTAATCAAAAAATTTCACTATTAGAAATAAACCATGGACATGGAAAAAAATTTATTTACCAAAAATTTCATTAAAGAGTCAAACAAGAAACAAAATTAAAAGAAATCTTGATGACCTTCAATAGAGTATATCAATATGATAAAATATTCTGCAAAAACTGAAATTGCTATAGAACAATATTTTATAACAATCATTTAACAATATAAGACTTTTTAATCATGAAAAGGGGGAACAATGTTATATTAAATTTAATAAGAAAACAGGATACATATGCATAAAATCCTATAACCAATTGAAAAAGACCAAATTAAAGGTCAAAGTGACCTATAATCCAAGAAAAAAATATTTACAAAATATTCTGGATTAAGGAAAAAGAACAAAACACAAACTCCTTGCCTTAAAATATGATGAAAAAAGACTAAGATGATAAGAATGAAATATCAAGACATTTCCTAAAGACATATTTGCTCAAAGTCTCCATGTAAGGCCAATAAAAGGTTACCAGGTTCATGAATTGACATTGCTCTAAATGTTCAAAGAAAAGAATATGTCAAGACACATTTATTTTGGATTTCTCCATAATCTTAAAGCCAACACCAAAAACATCTTCTCAGTTAGTATAACAATTTTAACATCACTGCTGTTCACAATTTGCCTTATACTGCATTTGTAATTTCTTTTTTCTCATTAAAATTTGTCATTAAATTAGAGCCCCAACCACCCTTAGTAAGTTTCCAGAGGTCAGTCACACTGGTACCTCGTTCCAAGCATCTGAACTCTATTCTATTTCTGGAGGTAAGCATTTATTCCATCTACTTTATTGGTAACTTACAGCTCTTACAGCATGCGGGCTTCTCACACACAAAAATTACTTTAATGGCACAGTCAGATACACCCCTGCAATTCATCCTGACGCACATTTAGAAGAGAGTCAGTCTTCAGCCATTTGAGAAGCTGATTAGGTACTACAAACAAAGATGACTAAAAATGTTCTATCTCTCTATAGGATACTGACTGAGATGGTCATCGACAACTAGGTACATCACAGTGCTTGAGTGATGTACACAAGGTACTATAAGTGATTAACAAGGTGTTGAACGTTTATTGAAAGAAAAGATATGAGTGAGTCTTCAACTGTGCTTTATAGCTGTCCTACTACTATGCTAAAAATAAATTCTCTAAAATAACAATATTTTCAGGACCAGCAATTGGCGTAAAGGCCATGTCGCTGGATTCCCATGTAGTTGACCGAGGTTCGAGTCCCAGACCTGGTGGCTTAAACTCACACTGGGCGCATGTGCGTATGTGCCCAAGATACCGAGAGGAAATTAAAGAGAAGGGATTGAGGCGTGGCCATCCCCCCGGAGGGGTAATTTCTCACTTTCTGTCTTTCTCTGTCTTTCTAGCGAGTGCACATGCCCTATAGCAAAAACCTCTCCAAAATAAATAAATAAATAAATAAATAACAATATTTTTTCGCAAACAACCCTGTTCCA